TGTATAATTTTTATTTATTTTTTTAAAGTAAGAGAATTTCTTTAATGCCAGGCTATGATGCTTTTGCTGATGCACCACTGTTTGGTTTTGCTGGTGCTTTTGACATTTAAGCTTCTTTTAATGATTAAACACCGTTGTCCTTCAGTCATGTGATCATTTCACAGCACAGCCAACACAACAGGTTATGTTTTAGTGGCTCCTCCACTAACATTTATGTAAACTAGGGACATGATAAGTGATGGTGTCTGCTGTTTTTTCACTAACGGGTATGAAGCAGACATTCAAATATAAAGAATACCCTTTATTTAGGTTAGCCACATGTTTGTATATACCTGCTCTCTCCACATGTAAATTGTCAAGCAGTAGCAAGTGAAATGGACCAAAGACACCTTATTGACTCCTGTCAGGTCGACACAGTGAAAGGGGATTGGTGGTCAGTCTGATTGGGCCCACAGCTTTTCCCATCCTGGGTTTATCGCAGGTCAGACGCTATCAGAGATTTGGTGAGCAGACGTCTCTCTCTCTTAGAAATGGAAACCTAATTTGTTTATGTCGAAGTTGATGATAATGATGCCAGGAAAGGGAGAATATGAGTGGGAGGGTGTGAGAGAGCAGTTGAATGTAGCAAGCTGCAATGTATTTCATACTAATGTAACATTTAGTAGAGCCACATCATACTGCACCTATGCCTCCTGTATGAAAGGGGTATTAAAACACCCTGTCTTCCCTCTCCTTGCAGACTATGAGTGTGATAAGGCTGCTTTGCCATTGTGCTTCAGGTCTGTAACATTTAATGAGCAAATTAAAAGCCTGGCCGCCTACAGCCACACTTCACATATGAAGATAAACCGCACTTGCGGTTGATGTTTTTGGTAATTGTGTAGAATTTTGGGCTTTATGTGGATAAAAGACTAATGTAAATGGGTCTTATATTTGCAGTGATGTTTGCTTTTATTATTGGGCATTGTCGGAGCAAAAAAAAAAGGGTCAGGCAAAACCGATACCAATACTGTCACCTTTCATATGTACTGAGTGAAGTTCTTTAGGCTACACAAGACAAACACATTCTCTTAAATGTAAAATACATTTTGTCTTTAATTTGAGCTTCATATGCATCTATCATAATTTGTTTTTGCTGGTTCTGTGCCATCATGATTTTTAAGAGCAGCGTCATTAGAGCTTGACCAAGTATTGGGACTTTGTCTTATTGTAAACACACGTGCTGGAGTGTGGGTCCCATTTTACTGGACCCCATAAAACAATTGTTACCAGTTTTCCTGTGCCAACCTACAGTTAAACCTAATGTCACAGACAACAGGGTCCCAAGGTAGGAAGGCATGTGATGAGCAATAATTAGTCTGTAAGGCATTCAGGTGCACTTAATGCTAAGTGCCTGTAATGTATAATCTGCTGTCATTATGACAGTGAGTGCTCATTTTGTGTCCTTGTGTCTCAGGCTTCTGATTTTTCTAACTTTTTGCAGAGAGAATTATTAAGTTTGTGGTCTGTGTGCCCTTGATAAACACTCCCTGTATACCTCAAGGCACTTGTAAATATTAGCTTTGGTTATTCAGTTGGATTAGAGTCTCCAGGAGCAGATGACGGATTTAGTCTAATAATCAAATAAATAAGGACTGACTCCCAAAACAGACATTGACAGCTGGCAGTCATCACTCCAAAGCCCTTGTGACCTGCTTCAGCCTTGCAAGAAATTAAAATAATTGGGTGTTCATAGATGGAAAGAAGTGGAGGTGGCTGCTGACCAGATGCTTGACTTTTGAAGACTTTTTGATATGTAAAAAAAGTCAAGGCCTTTGCACATGTGTTTCCAGTTTTGTTTTGTTTTGATTGGTTTTTTGTGGGGTGTGGCAAATATATATCACACAGATGACAACAGGGAAAACACATGGTGTGTTAGCACACACAAGGTTATTTCACAAAAACAGTACTTTGTATGTAAATGAAAAGCATTATTAATTGCCCAAGAAGTTAATGTGCAGATTTCCAAACATGGTAGATGGACAGACGTGGATGCACAAGAACTTTGTCGAACAGACACGCTTGGAGTTTCTGAAATATTTTAGATACATGAATAATATTTAACAATTAGATAATATATAACAATTATAGTCTCAGTTGGAGCATGCATGCATATATTCACACACTTTTTATTGTTTCCCTTAATTGAGGCAGAGACACAACTATAAATCAGTGGGCACGGACATCTCCCGTGAGTCAGATGTGGCTCAGTGCTGCAAAAGTTGCTGAGCTCAGTGCTTTGATGTAAATGTTGCTTAGTTGTGTGCTTGGAGAGAAGCATGCAGTGCGCTGTTCATATAGTATGTACTTTATGTTGCAGTGTTTCACCCATTCATAGCCATACCATTTTCACTTTGTAGGGTTAGTGCAGCTAGTTGTTCCCTTGCTAAGTTTTATTTAACCCATGTACTTGATGTTAACACTTTGGCAACACTCTAAGTCTCAACAATATGTGAGAGGAATGAACGTGAGCTTTCTGGAGCCAGTAGTGCTCAGCATTTTTTTTAACCTGTTCTAATCTCACAATGTCATTGCCATTTCTACTTGGCATCCAGTTCATTTAATTGCTCTGAAATTGTCCTGAGAGCAGACACTTAAATCTCTGGTTTAAGTTTCGAGTAAATGTAGTACAGCTGGGAGTCCTTCCATCCAAACCATGCCTCAATTTGGGTCACAGTGTCTTACTTCACTTCTAGTTTGCACACTTGGTACATTTTATTGTTCTTGTTCCATGGCATACAAATTCATGATTATTGTAGAACAAAAACAGCAATTTTGTTATTTTGAGTATGCAGGTACCCTCTGAGAAAGTCCTAAAGTATTCTCTTCTTCATGTCTTTCTATTTGTCTCTGTTTTCTGTCTGTGTTTAGCCCCATGTCCTCGACTCTACTTCCCCTTTTTCTATCAGTCCCTCAAGCACCATCAGTTTGGAGATTCTCTCTCAGTTCACTTCTTATTTAGGTTAAATGCAGGCAAGTGTTATAGCGTCCTCCTTTGCTCAGTGGTAGGATTTAAAGGCACAGATTCCATCCCTGTTGCCTAACCCATTTTACACTTGTGGGCTTGCTGTTAGATTTAGATCATTAACTGTGTTATCCACCGAGATCCATGCCAAGCTCTCCCTTTTGAACTGCTAAAATAAATTTTATTCAGGTTTTATATAGTTATTAAAAACCCTGGTAAAGTCAGGGAGGTGGAATGGGAATTTCTGATTTATTTATTTTTTTAAGTTGGTGAAGGTTTTCTGCCTGTGAAGTAGGGATGCCGTATTTTTGTAGACCTGCCATGAAGTTATCATCGCCCTGGTTCCCTGGACAAAAAGCCAATAGGCTTTTTCCATAGGCTTCTGGATGATTGCAGAAAATAAGCTCTGTGACAAACAACAGTTTATGACACTTACAAATTTTGTTCAGTAAGATAAGCGAACACCACTTTTATGATTTTTGAAACCTAAATAGAATCGTCAATGTAAAAGGTTATTGTTAGGCTATAAACAAACTACACCACGGTCCCATGCCTTCAGCATCACCACCACAGCCTACTTGTAATTTGATTTGGCATGCTTAGCTCCTTCTCAAACTCTTTTCCTCTTAGCATGACCTGATCCAGCTAGTGATCATGGCTGTGTAAGTTAGAATAAATTGCAGGTGCACAAGTTTAAACATAACCAGGCTGTTAAGGCAGGCTAGTGAGTAGACAAGTCTCTGTCTTTGGTAGGGTGGCATGAAATATCTAAAACAGCCTCTCTAGTCTCATTTAGCCACTTGTTAACAACCGCCTTTTTTAAGACATGCATAAGCATTAAAAATCATGAGTGGGGTATTTACTGGTGTATTTTATGTCGTAACATAACAGGAAAAAGTATTGGCCTTGCACTAACCACAGTCCTTATTTCAGGCATCTAACCAAAAACACATTGACTTATGGGCAAGGCTACCAGAAGCACAAACACACACTCTATAATCTATATGAGAATATAGTTGAAATAAATAAAGCTCTACTTTGCAAATATTTATTGATGCTTGTATTTATAGAGGTATAAATTGAATAGTTCTACATCAACTTTGTAATAAATTAATAGAGTGTGTTTGAGTGATTACAAATATTGCATTTGTAGATGTTACTCTGCATGTATTAATATATGTGTTATACAGTGCTGTATTTTAGAGGTACAGTGTGTGTGTGTGTGTGTGTGTGTGTGTGCAGCAGTAAGAGATTGTGTGTGTGTTTTTGTTTTGGTTTTTGAATCACACATCCCAGCTGTTTTGAGAACACGGTGTTCTTTGCACTGGTGGGATTAAGAGGTATTTTAGTCTGGAATGGAGTCTTGAAATCAGCATTTTAGCTGTAACATATATGTGGAGGACAACCAGTCAGAATGAGTGTTAAAATTTAAATTAGAATGCAAAGTGGGTTTGCACATTATTCTGAGTGAGATTCCTCTAGGCCTCTTGGTCTCACGTCCTACAAGGGTGTGTGTTTATCTAGTGTAATGGTAGTAGTTCTTTGTGAATGTGTGTGTTAGTGCCTCTAGTTGGGTATAACTGGTGCTGTTTCTGTTGACTTGGTAAAAACACACTGAGCTGAACCCTGTTTTTATCCAGGAAAAAGTACTGTAAGTACTATCAGTGATACTGTTACTTTACTGACCCTTTATTGGATTGGATCGATGGTCAACTGCTCAAGTAGTACTTTTGCCTCAAATCTACATTAGCTTATGTCTCGCTGTAACTAGTACAGTACATATCTATATGTGGCAAACAGACTGTGCACTTGGCCCAGAGAGACGTTAGTGGTTCTCTTAGGACTCTGAGTGGATGGGGCGAGGCTCCTCCCACCTTAGCACAGTGGTGTGACCAGGAGGAGCATGGGAAGGAGAGACACTAGGAGTGAGACACTTTGTCTGTTTGCTCTGTATGCGCCAAGGTGAAACTTTACTCTGGCTTTCGTTCCTCTGCAGGTGAGACAGGCTGCTCCAACAAAGGGTTCTGGATGCTTTGTCTCCTGCTGCTCAGGTGAAAGGTAAGCTGAGCTCTCACCTGCTGGCCCAGTCTTTAATGTCTTAATAAAGCATACACTCAGCTAAAACTGGCTAGCTATCTGTTTTAGCTTCACTTAATCAAATGATTTGCATATGCCACTCACATGTTACAGTTTAAGGTTTAATCTATGAACTCATTTTCTCTCAGGCATCAATCTACTTTCAAGATTTGACATAAATACAAGCACATTTTTACCCAGTCCTGCCTGAGGGCGTAGCTCACTTTCTAACTGAAAGAGAAAATTAGGGCATGTCTCTTAAGGTGTGAAATAGATGTAATGTCCATTTATGCCAGGTTTTAGTGTGTTTTAAGACAGCTTTCCACATCTATTTGTTTACAGTGTCACTGTGCTGTTTGATAGACTTCTGCATTTCAATGTGAGCATTTGTGTGTCAGTGGAGCACAGTGCAGCACAGAGAGAAGGGAAACCGCTTGACAGAACTGAGATTAACGGCTTACAGGGTGTGTCAGATTCATTTGGGTTATAATGGTAAATGTTTGAGGTTGCACAAGGATAGTTGGTTACATGAATGAGATATACAAAGCCCTAAAACAGGAGTCTGCCTGATGTACATGTTGATCTTTCATTCAGTTGCAGGATAATGTGTAATGACTAGTTACTGTTTGCTTGTTCAGCCTTCCCTCTTTATTACAGTCCACTGTGTATTTTGGTCTCTCCTGGAAGGATACGTGTACCATTGTCTGTATGCATGCCAGTTATTTGTATCAACAGTACTACAGACCTTCAGCTGTTAAGAACATCTGTCCATTGGGCATAAAGATGGAAGCCAGGTGTTCTTATTACGCTATTGCTGTTCTTATTACTAAAGTAGACATTTAGTAAAATTCATTTATCATTCATGCTGTGAAACTATTTCTTTTTGGTGTGAAAGAATCACATTGATAGTGGTGACACAGCTATCTTAGACCAGTTTGAAATGTTGCTTTGCTATTCTTGGAAGCGTCTGCATTCAGCCTTGCCATGTATTGTTTTCAACACGAAAATGTGTGAGATTTAACAGCAAATTACACATTAACCAGGCAAAATATCTCATCCTGTATTCAGTAGTTCACACCCAAGATATTATTGCCTCATTTTTGTCTGCCTCACACATTCAGGTGATCTGATTTGCTACCAAGTTAAGATAATGGTTATAAAACCTTGATAGTTTACATATGCAGTCAGCTGACTGAATGACTGCTTACATGCTAGTTCCCATTTCTGTTCCACTTTCACCTTTTTAAGGCTTAGTATTGTGTACACACTTATGTGTCTGTTTACTAGGAGTGGAATAATAAAGTTCATTTCTGTAGATAGATGGTGTGGTTTTTTTTGTAAAGTAGTGAATCACTCTGGCTTTCAAATAATCTATATAATTCATTGAATTAATCAATTAAAAATACGCTGCTCAAAAATTAAAGGAACACAAATCACACTTCAGATCTTGATGAATGAATCTGTTGAAAGTCTTTACTAATATACTAATGTACAAATTATACAAATGTATAATTTGTTCAGAACAAAATGATATGACAGCAACGGCTAATGGAAACCAAAATCAGAAAGCCATGGAGGGCAGGAATCAAAATCAAACTGCAAATCAAAGTGAAAAATTAACATCTCAGGCTCATCCAAGTTGCATGAATTTCATCACGGTAACTCATAATGTGACTCCAAGTGTGTATGGCCCTCCTGCGTGCCCGTATGCACTCCTGATGGCATCTGGGCATGCTCCTGATGAGTCGGTGGATGGTGTCCTGGGGAATCTCCCCCCAGACTTGGATCAGGGCGTCAGAGATCTTCTGGACAGTCTGTGGTGGTACTTAATGGCATTGGATGCTCTAATACATAATGTCCCATTGGTGCTCACTTGGATTTAGGTCAGGGGAACATGAGGGCCAGTCCATTGCACCTGTTATTACTTTCATTTGCACCAAAGCTGGTGAAACTGATTCCCAATCACTTTTGCTTCCTAAATGGACAGGATGTTATCCCTGAGGTTTAACTGACTTGGTGTCATACTGTGATGCTCAAGAGCTCTCAGTTTTTTTGAGCAGTGTATATATTAACCAAATCAGAAACGGTCAGAAAATGTAGTACCCAGTTGCTCGTTTAAAGAGACTGAGTTACATGTTTGCTAACTGCCGTAAGGGCTGCATTAATTATAAAACAAGTGCACACCCCTGCCATCCAGGGAAGAAAAAAGTGGCAGGGCAGCTGTCTGTGCTCACCGTGGCAGTTGTGTTGTTGCCTGGTGCCTATCTGGTTCAGCTAGCTACAGTACCTGTTGCTCGGTTAACACAGGCCACAAGCTGAGTCACACAGCAGAGCTCACTGCTATAGCTACAGTACTAAGGTTTGGGGCAAGCAGTACTCTGATTAAACATGCTTCGGATAAAAAAAAAAGTGATTAAGTATAAGTGACACAGCCCTGCTTCAAGGGTAGATGCACTTTACCTGGTGGCAGTAAAATATTTTTTTGGACAAGACAGACAGGCAGTTGTCAGGCAGAATAAATTAAGTGCGTGCTAATAATGCAAAATGCATCTTGGATGTTCATCGTAGGACTCAGAACATGAAGTACCCAGCAGTCTCCTTTGATCAGCAAAGCAAAGTGTAATTTAATGAGACACTGAGGGAGCCAGAATGAGATTTATGCTTGTTTATTGTGTTTCTGATGGTTGAAGAGTGGCTTCATCCATCTTTGTGTGTGATCTGAGACTCTCCTTCTGTATTATTGGCATGTAGAAACCAGTCTAGACTGCCTATTCTTCTGAAACAACATAACGACGGCACAGAAAAAAAGAGCACACTCCTGTGGAAATGTAGATCTTTTTTTTAGTTAGAAAGGTTGCAAAGGTCTAAGGGATGTCAGTCCTTGGCGAATAAAAAAACTGTGCAACTAATCCTTAAAGTTAAAGTTAAAGGCAAGTGATGCTTCTAGTAAAACTAATAGTATTTGTTAAGATTCATCCTTCCTCACATCTCCAATGAGTTCTTGCAGGTCTGTGTACAGTGTATGATTAGCGCTCTGGCTCTGATACGCCTGTATATCTGTCAGTGAAAAGCCCGGGAACTTCTGCCAGGTTCTTTTAATGGTGTCTGCCAGTGTGGGATTCACAAAGGGAAAGAAAGGGCAGGTGGCTAAACTAGAATTACAGCTTCAGAGTCTTTAAATCTGTGCAGCGATTTGAAGCCGAGAGAAGGATTGCATAGCCCTTATATAGAGTGGCTTCAGAAGTATTCAGACCCTTTTCTTGTTTTTGTTGTGTTGCAGATTTATCTTTAAATGATTCACAGGTGTAATAGCTGCCAAAAGGGACTTATATAAATAACTTTGTAAATAAGAGATTTCAGTTTTTGATGTTTAATAAGTATGGAAAAATTATAATGTTTTCGTGTTGTCATTATATATTATTGTGTGAAGATTACTGGCAGAAATGGTAGTTTTTTCCATTTCAAATTAAATCTACAACACGATAGTGTGTAAAAAGATCAAGGTGCTATGTGATAAATAATAATTGGTTGGGAGTGAAAATGCAGGAGTGGCCCTTAGAGATGAATGGTCACTGGGTTGCCCTGGCGTGAAATTCACTGACGCTATCAAACATTTAGATGGGCATGTCATTCATAAGTCGCTTTTTTTAGTAAGTTGCTCCTGCCCCATGCTTGTTCCTTGGTCCAGTTTTGGATGAGATGTCTTGCTCACTTTGTCAGAAGAAATAGGAGACAGTGAAAGTCACCCCTGTACCGCTCCCTGTTCAATTTCCCCAGTGAGGAAGGAGATTCACATCATCAACTTTGATGTTACCAGTCCACTTTTCTTACTCAGTCATGCAGCATTGAACCGTCCTTTCTCCAGTGTATTCTTCACAACCCACTTCTTTCATTTCCTATCTCACTAATGAATTTATGAACCAGTCTACAGACTGTGAATCACTGATTGAGTGAAAGTGTATCTATGATTAATGTGGCATATATCAGTATTTACAACCACCTGCCATGGTAAGAACACTAAAATATTTATTAGTAAAAGAATGCAGACTTGATGTTGACAGGGATGGATTTCACAACTCAGCTAAGTAATACAGTATATCCAGAAATCAACATTTATACAGTAGCAGAATACATGTAATAAACTTTATACAGTGGGGCAAATAAGTATTTGATACACCGCCGATTTTTCAAGTTTTCCCACTTACAGAGAATGGACAGTTCTGTAATTTTCATCGTAGGTACACCTCAACTGTGAGAGACAGAATCTACAAAAGAAATTACAGAAAATCACATTGTTAGATTTTTAAATAATTTATTTCCATTTCATTGCATGAAATAAGTATTTGATACAATAGAAAAATAGAACTTAATATTTGGTACCTAAACCTTTGTTTCCAATTACAGAGGTCGGACGTTTCCTGTAGTTCTTGACCAGGTTTGCACACACTGCAGCAGGGATTTTGGCCCACTCCTCCATACAGGTCTTCTCCAGATCTTTCAGGGTTTGGGGCTGTCGCTGGGCAACACAGAGTTTCAGCTCCCTCCATAGATTTTCTATTAGGTTCAGGTCTGGATATTTCAGGTTATTTCTTAACCTAAAACAAGTATTTTTAAACAGTAAAAATACACATGGTTCCTAACATAACTGCAACCTGCTGTGTTTGTTAAGAAATTTCACAGTGCATCTTTAATCCTCAGTCACGGTTTACATTAGCTGCCTAGTCTGGCTCACTGCTGGAATTGAGTCTGTGGAGGTCTGTGTTGATGTGTTTTTGTATGACAGTCTGTTTGTGAGAATCAGTGCACTGACGCTGGTTTTCATGCAGTAAGTACTGTCAGCAGTGTTTAATCTTTAATAGAGTTAAAGTGGTGCTTTAAAATGAGTGTCCTTGATGTTCCAAGAGAAGGAATACCATGTAAACGAGAGCAAGTGAGGATGCGTTGGCGCAGTCACTGCAGCAGCCTCTCGCAGTGCAGCACTG